CTGGAAGCGGCGGGCCGCCCCCAGGGAGTCCGCTGCCGGCTGGCAGAGCTGGCCGAGACGCGGTCCGGCAAAGCCCGCTTCGAGGCAGCCAGAAAATGGTTTAATTGTAGGCATTTTGAAGATCTGATTATCTCTGTTTTCCCTTGGTTTGGGTGCTGTTTAATGAAAGAGGCCTGAGATAGTTTACGTACTCAGGATGTTTGGGTCTCTGTCTTTGTAAAAAAATTTTTTCTTTTCCCACGACTGTGTTGATTACTCGGTTATTTGTACTTTCGAAGCCCTCCCCCACCCAGTCCCTCATCCCTCTGTCTGTCTCCGTGTGACTGCCCGGTTGGTGCTATCAGATTCATTCAGGAATGCAGGCTGCTTTTGGATTTATGACTTAGGGAAGTAATTAATGTATCTTAAGAGTGAGAGGGTAATTCTGCCCTTATGTCCTGTAATGTCTGAGGTTAAAAAATATGGAATAGCTGTTAAGAAAGGAACCTCCTTTCATCCACAGGGGAGCCTACCTTTTAAGAAATAGAAGATTATGAAAGCATGGTAGCCTCCATAGAGAAGCTTGTGTTTTAAACTTTGACTGGCATGGAAAGTTTTCTTTAATTTTTTGCTTGTTTTGAGACAAGGTCTTGCTGTGTAGTCCAGGCCAGCCTTGAACTCGCAGAAATCCTCCTGCCTCAGCCCCCCAAGTGCTGGGATTTCAGCCGTGCACCACGTCGGCAACCTAGAAAGTTTTCTTTCCTTTTTTTTTTTTCTTTTTTTTTTTTGATTAGGGTCTGATTCTTCTGTCTGCTCTGCAGGTGCATTTTTTCAGAAAATAAACTATTGCTTATTAAATCGACAGCAGTAGTTGAATGAGAAATACTCACTTGTGTAAAAGATGAGAATCTCACTTTCTTTTCAATATACTATGTCTGAAATAACAAGTTAGTATTTTCTATACATGTGTTGCATAAAACTGCTCCCAGGCTGAGATTTTCTGGGTGAACTGAGAAAGCTGAGAGTTCTGGAGGACTCTGAAGCATACTGTTGATATGCTTATAAAAATGGGTTGTGAAGATAAACTTGGAACCCTCTCCTGGCCTATGATTTGGCGGGATCTTTCTCTTATAAACATACTTGCTGCCTCCGAGAAAAGAAGCCTAATTATTGCCATCAGTGGGGCAAAATTACCATGGAAACTGTGACCAAGCGTTGCAGTTTTCTAAAGTCCAGTTAATACCGCAAGTTCGGCCCTGCAGAGCAAGCAAAGTTTCAGGGGTTGTCCTGGGCTACAGATTCTGTGAGTAACTGGGTTCTCGCAACAGACTTATAAATGATGGATTACAAATATTAGAGAGAAGGGGACTCTCGATTTTATTGCTTCTTCCTATCCTGAGGTCAGTAGAAGTCTAATTTGTAGTTGTTTTTCTCCTGCCAGATTATCACCAGGAGGTGTATAAGATCTCAGAATTCAGCAACGATGTGAATGGAGACGCCAAGGAGGTACAACCCGTTGTGTTAGGTAGGTTCCTCTGTCACTGAATTTCTCAGCAAAGCAGTGTGGCCATTTGCAGTTGGGGGGGGGCATTGTGCCACAACGGGAAATGTCTGCCATGGCTTAATGTATGGCACTCTTTTCAGGACCTTTTATTTTACAGATTGCCAATATATCCCTTATTAACATTGCTAAAAGTTGTAATTTCAGACATAAATGTTTATTAGTGTCTACACACAGTGCTAATTATCGCTCACTCACGGAGCCAGATGCTGACCGTGCAGTTCCGTGGCTCTGTACCCACCCCATTTACATTGCCTGTCGCTGGCATGCTTCACTGGCATAGTTTGTGTAATTGGGGTATAACATCTTTGACATCTGGATAACAGAAATTCAATTTCCAGGAAGCTGCTATTTGTTTGGTTTTGCTTCTGCCTTGGGTGGGCTAGAGGATTAATGCGCTGTCTTATTATAACGTCCCTTCACCTCTGTGGCCTGCTTGCTAATCCTGCCATGACAAAATTAAATTAAATCTACAGTCAAAAAGCGTAAGGAAAATAAAAGTGTGATTGTCTGCCTAACCACCTCTTGATAGTGCTAGTTACCATTCTGCGGCTCCTGGGCTCCTGTTTTTCTGGCTTTGTGTTCTTTCCCACCAACATTTCTGGCCGTGGAGAAGAGCCCGCCTTTCCTCCTCCTCCCTGGCTCACCTCAGGGACAGGTGGAGTCAGAGGCAGCATCTCCCAGACCTTCTGACGGTGCCGTCCCACTCTGCATGGGCGGGTGGCCCGGTGTTGCTGCGCGTGCATTGTACTTGTGTACGTGAAGGACTTTGGGTGTGTGGTTTTATTATCTGCAGACCAGGAACTGAAAATGAGACTGTTTAGGATTTTGCCTTTGAGAGTGAAGTGCCCACCGAGTCACAATGGAGAGCACTTGGTGGCCTCAGCCTTAGCCTTGCCCGTGCTGGAGTTCTGCAGCCCCAGGCGGCCGCGTGAGGGTCAGGGGCCGCGAGGCCGGGAGGAAGAACGGGAGAGAAGTCGGGGCGGGAGTGAATGCGGCCAAGGGCCAAGTGCCCCACCGCCTGGGCCTCTAGGTCGCAGGGCTGCTGCCGCTCAGACCCAGCGCAGTGCTCCCTCAGATGAAGACACTGGAGAACACTGTGCTTCACTAGGATCTCTGTTTCGCCCTGAAGGAAGAAAAGGGTGGGTTGCAAAGGACTGGGAAGAAGTCAGAGAGATACAGACACGAAATAGTAGGGAAACGTGAGCATTTCTTACATGAACAGCCTTGGAAGAGGGAGGGAACTGAGGGAGAGCGCGAGACGGAGGCCAGCGCTCCTCTCAGCACCTGTGCACCGTTCAGAGCTCTCGAAAGGCCAAGAGGCGAAGATGTTAGTGAACTGCTGTGTCCCAGAGGGAAGTCTGGGATTATGTGCGTCTCAGCTCCCTAACCTTGGTGAGTTGAATTCGCCGTACGTACCTCTTAGTGTAGCCATTTGAAATAAAGCATTTGCCTTCTGGTAGGAAATTTACGTTGATTATGCAAACGAAACATCATGTCCTTGGTTTGGTTCCCCAGTGAAGGCCTGCCCTTCCCCTCCTTCCTTCTGTGTGCAAGAAAAGTGGGAAAGACACAAGAGGAGGTGACTTTTGAAGAGGAAAAAGGGGAGGATGAGGAACAGGAGCATTCGGAGGCTCAGGGTTCAGTAAACAGCAAACTCTCAAAGGTGGCCACTGCTCTCCTGTTTCCTGTATGATCTGAGGAAGATAATACGAAGACAAGACGGGGCTTGGGATCCACTTTCTTTTGGGGAGGGCGGGACCCACTTTTGAAGTAGTGGGTTAGAAAGATCGGACAGCCTGCTTTTCCACAGTAAGTCAGATACGGTTCCCAGGGAATGTTTTCTTTTGTGATCTTCGGGTCAATTAAAAAAATAATGGAAGTGGTTATGCAAACACGATTTCTAGAACAATTGGAATAGTTACTGGTAACATGTGAAATGAAGAATTTTGTTGTTGACAGTGCTACAGATTATAGTCACTCCTCTTAAAACAGATTTAAATCAGATTCATTGTGTAAGTTGCCAGTATACTCATAGTATTATTTATGGTTTGAAGCATATGGCATCTAGGAGAGTTTGACACCATGGTATCAGGGACTCTTTCACTTGTGCCAAAGTAGTAGTAGCACCGGCCCCCATGGTGTTTTGGAGGACTTTCTGCATCCACATTATCTTTGACACTCTGTGTCTTTAAGATTAAAGTTCATGTCCCAAGGGAGAGGAGAGTGCGGCAGGATTTGGCAGAGGTTCCCACATGAAATCTTTCTCTGGAATATTTTTAGGCTGCTAACCAAGGCAGTGCATTCAAGACAGTAAGGTAGCATGGTAGGGTGAATGGCTTTGGGAATTAATCACACATTTTAAATTTGATGATAGGGTCAGAAGAGGGAACTTTATCCCATGGGTGTTGACTTTCTCAAACTGGCTTGATGGAACTGCAGTAAAGAATTGAGCACTGTTTACAGGAAAACAATTCATTTGATCAATTCAGCAAGTATTTTTGTGAGGAAATACGTGAACTAGCACTTTTCTGGTGTGGAAGCGGGACCTGAAATGGATAGGACGGGGACCCTGCTCTCAGTGACTAAAATACAGCGGAGAGAGGAAGAGAGATTCAGAAAGGAGGCGACAAAATGCAGAAATCACAACTGCAGTTTGAGCTCTGTGTGCAAGGCCATGAGCTGACTCTTTTATGCGAATTATCTCATTTTCTCTGGCAGCAAATCTGTCACAGGGTCTTTATCAGCCCTATGTTGTAGATAAGGCTTAGGGATATTAAGGTAACCCGCCAGAGGTCACTCAGTAGGGTGGCCATAGCCAGGGTCCCAGTACAGGTCCACCTGAGCTTTAAACTCCACATAAGCCTCCGTGTGAACAGTAATCCAATGGCATTCACCAACAAGCAGTAAAGAAGCAGAAGTAAGCCTTGGAATCCCATAGCCTTTCGCCCTGCTGATGGGGAACTCTGCAAAGACGAGACCTTGAACTACAGGAAAGCCTTGGTCAGGCAGAAGATCCCTGGTGGGAAGTGTGTGGGCCAAGGTGGGGTGACAAGCATGGTATAATTAGACTTCAAGTGAATGCTGTTAGACTTCATAGCTACAGAGCGCTTTCACCTCTGCTACCTCACAGGATTTCTACAACGTACCTTCGAGGTACTGAGGGCGGGTACTGTTATTCCGATAGTAGTGAGGACTGGGGCTCAGAGTGAAGTGACTTGCATATGACTGGCGGAACCTGGTGTAAACCCAGGTCTCCTGTCCAAACTTCCCCTCTCCCTGTGTTGAGGCAGACAGACTTGGGTCACTGAGGACATCTTAGATGGTAAGAAGGCACTTTTTGAAAAAAATCTTATGAGACAATTTATTATTTGTAGTAATAATACACGCCATAATGTCTCTTTCATGGATCGTATTTTGGTTTAGGTTTACTATTATCGCATGTGCATTTGAAACATGTTTATTTTTCAGCCATTCAGGTCTCACTTATTCATTTAGCAAATGTTTTTTGAGCTCCGGTTACACACTGCCAAGCCCTGTTCTGGTTGTTCTTTTGAATGTTCAGTGCGGTTTTACACCTTTCAGTAGATGAAGCCTGTGACGTGGTAGCCGTGCCTGTTGAGCACGGTCAGGATCTCTCGGTCCTGAGTCTCTTTGCGGTGGCTTTCTTGAGGACGGCTGTCCCCTGAAGGTCCCCAGAATCTCTCTCCCGAGAACACGGGCAGAACATTCCCAGGCACTTCGCAGGTGCGGGGTCAGCCCCTCGCTGCTGTGTGGTGCTCCCTGGACAGCTGAGCGGCCGCGAGTGGAGCAGGGTGCTCTCCGCCTGGGGCCTGGTGGCCTGGGTCCCACTCCTCCCACGAGGAAGGAGACGCTGATGTTGACGCCGGCGGTGGGATTCCAGGAGGGGCAGCAACCTGGAAAGGGGAGGACCTCGGAGGCCCAGGGAGGGCAGAAGGAAGGACCCTAGAGTCCGTCGTTCGGAAACAGGGGCTCTCACTTCTCTTCCTCTTCCCGGACACGCCCCCCGCAGCTCCAGCCCCGCCGTGTCCTTGCGTCCCTGTCCTTTCACAAACATAAGCACCCCCCATTTTGGTGGCAGAGTTAAGGGGACAGAAAACTAGGCGTGTCTCAAGGTTAGGAATGTGGCAGGTGTGGGTGCCACTTGTTGAGAGCTTGCTGCTAAGGACTTGTAAATGTTGCTTGTCCCTTTAGTTGTCGCGGGAAGGTACCGTCACTCCCACTGTGCAGGCAAGGTATTTGAGGCGTTTGCACAGTCGCTCAGCTCTGCCTCTCCGAAAGCATCCTCTCCCCATCACAAGTTTTCTCCAGGGCACTCCCATGCGGAGCCCCCGGCATGTACAGCAGGTGAAAGAGCAATGGAGCTGCTTCATGAATGGCACCTTACACACCCCGCCGTCCTCGGGACCTCTGCAGCCTGTGAGGGTGCCCTTTCATGATTTAAAAACCCCGGATCACCATCATCAAAAGTATGCCCGACTAGACTAGAGGTCCAAAAATGGCTTTAAAAACCATTGCAAGCCCGAAGTTTAGAGAACCTCCTGAGGACCCATAAGGTCCTATGCGTGCGTACGAATGTGTCTCATCCTGTGGCTGCAGGCTGGGCCGTCTTCGGTGTCCCTGGCTGCCCTGAGTGTGGGAGGCACGGTCGTCAGGCCTGTGCCTGTCCGAGGACATTTGTTTGTCCTGTGGTGACTCCCGCAGCTCTGCCAGGAGGCGGGTGCTCTATCACGCTCGTTTTACAAACGGGTTGTGCAGCTCAGAGGTGGAAGTGCCTCGCCCCGGGCCCTGCGGTGCTGAAGTCACTGACCACCCTAAGACCAGGTCTCCTGACGTCTGGTTCTGGGATCTCTTCCACGCATCAGAGCTGCCTCCGGCCCCTGGCTGGTCTCTCCCGTTTCACCCGTGCGGGCTGATCTTACTCGTAACTCCTCTTCCCTTGC